TTTACAAAAGGTAAAGAAGGTAGGCCTTTCGATTATTTTTATGCAATTCAGTTTTTTTGTTGAGACTTTAGTGTTTAGGTAGTAACAGCTATTATACCTGGGAAAAATTCAAACACAAACATGTTTTTGATTTAACCGCGAACTTTATTCAAAATAGACATCTGGTTTTTTTGTCTAATTTAAGGTTTTTTTGGGTCTTCTGTATCTAGGATGTAGCAGAGGTAGCACGATGGCATTAAATTCGACTTTGCATGAACCGTTAACAGTTTCTTGTATAAGAATCGCAGTGCATAGAGCTACAGGTGCCTACACGACGTGAGATGCAGACCCGCCCGCCTTGCTCTCCGTCAACTGCATTACCTTGTCAAACGCCGTTCGAAAGTAACTGACTGTAAAACAAATCTATTAGATCAAAGTGTGTGACGTCAAGCGCCCATGGGTACTGCTAATCCATTCTGTGGATGGGAAAGGCAAGCGTCTGCAGCATCGCGCGGCAGAAAGTTGCTCTCGGTGCTACCTGTTCTAAAAAGAGTAGATGGTGTGTTCGCCTAGTTACCTGTTGACCCACCCACCTCACTGTGGCATGACTGCCCATGATTCTACAGCAAACTCTACTCATTTGATCGTTATCGGGGTGTAGGCACACATTTTCAACGGGAATTTTGCGTCATAGTAGTTTGTACAAGACGATTAAGCATTTCCTTCCTCTGATAACAAGTTAAAGTGATATCATTCTAGGAAGGAAAAACAACTCGGACTGAGGAACTTCGTGAAGAATAAAGACTTGAGTACAGTAGCACAGAAGGCAAATCCTTGCAAAACCACAAATGCAAGACGTCAGTAAACTAAAGAATTCATAAAGGAAGTTGAAATGTGGTAAAATATCTACGCTGAGGGTTTGAAGCGGCCCTTTATTGACAAGGTTTGCTCTAGTGAAGAAAATACTTAAGATCAACAAATAATGCCTTCCAAATTTGATTATACGCCAGTTTACAATGCCATGTCTCATTGCTTTAAACAACACCCTTGATATGAACTCAGTATATGCAGACCTATTATTATTATGCTGAAGCACTATTTCGGGGTTGACGAATGATTACTTTGCAAGAAAATGCAACTGAGGTCAAAGTAAATAACTCCTATCATTATATATCTAGTACCAGCTCCAAATATGTTCAAGCCAACAAATGACTCGAGTAAATTATGCTGATCTACTGAAATAGAGGCAAAGAAATTGCAGCGGCGGTCCTAAACTGTGGATTTCATTCGCAGGACTGACTCTCACTACAAACAATCAACGTTAACGTACATACATGCAGTATTCGCATTCACAAACGGTTCTGTTTAGAGAAGTGAAGAGCAAACGTCCTTCACCCTGCCTTTGTTTCTCTCTTGCATTCACTCCTCACTAGACTTCTCCATTCCTCTCGCATCATATGACATTGAAATGTCAATAAAAGGCGGCTGGGTAGAGGGGGAATGCCAATAAGGTGCGAGCGGTGAGGTTGGATTCACCGAATTACTTCGTACTGCACAATGTTTTGCAAAAAGAATCCGTCTGCATGAATAGCGAAGGGTTGAGTCTATGCCTTGTTTCGACTCTTCCTATTTATCCATAAGTCTTTCTTTCTTTGCCCTAGTAGCTTACGTAACCTCTCTGTGTCGCAATTCACGACGGTCTGAGAACCGAACACGGTCAGTCGTATTCGGACTGCAAGCTACCTCATCAGTTTTGCTCATAGTCATAACACTGGCGCATGCATGCATCTACACACATTTCAAGCTGTTGTCTGGATTCGTGGTCTTGTCTCCCATTGGTATGTGGTTTACTGTGTGGCATCCTGGC